GTAGCGATGGCCTCCAACCTAGTAGCGATGGCCTCCAACCTAGTAGCAATGGCCTCCAGCCTAGTAGCAATGGCCTCCAGCCTCGTAGCAAGGCCTCCAACCTAGTAGCAATGGCCTCCAACCTAGTAGCGATGGCCTCTAACCTAGTAGCGATGGCCTCCAACCTAGTCGCAACCTAGTAGCAATGGCCTCCAACCTAGTCGCAATGGCCTCCAGCCTAGGAGCGATGGCCTCCAACCTAGTAGCAATGGCCTCCAACCTAGTAGCGATGGCTTCCAACCTAGCAGTGATGGCCTAGCAGCGATGGTCTCCAGCCTAGTAGCAATGGCCTCCAACGCAGTAGCAATGGCCTCCAACCTAATAGCAATGGCCGCCAACCTAGTAGTGATGGCCTCCAGCCTAATAGCAAACTATATAAGACCGCTCAGATTTCAATTCCAACATGTTCGTTGCATCAGCTGGTCGCCCTTTGTTCCGGTCTCCCGGGACAGGCCCGACATCAAGAGTTGGGCTCACTGGTGGTGTCGAGCGGCAACATCGTCAAGGTGCGCAGTTTTTTGGGAGAGAGCATGAGCTTGAGCTGGCAACAGGTCTCTTCCAATTTTTTCCCACTCAATCGCACGGTAAAGTAATAAGGTAGGGCAGAATGAAGCCCTGGATTTGAATCGATGCTTAGTTCGCAGCCGCCTCAGCCAAAGCTGGCCATGGAACACTCAGCGAATGATTTCTTGACAATGCCTTCGGAACACTGCTTGCCAGCGCTGTGACTCAGCCAATCCTAGAGAAGCAGCCTTTGCGTATTCGAGAGGTTGTGGCTTTCTGCCAAATTTCTTCTTTATTGTTCTGCATGTGCCAACTTTACCAAGAAGCGCCCCGAGGCTTGATCTAACAAGACATATCCAGGCGGAAGAGTCCTCTCGATTGTATCAAACAGCAGTTCAAAGAAAACTGCTCGACATTCTCAGCTTGAAGGCCGGCCGGAAGACTGGTCGATGGGCGTTCATTTTCACACTAACAAGGCATCTTGCCCAGTGACCGTTTCGTCTTTGAAGGAGGCACCTCAAGACCTACAAGATGCCGCCAGCGAGCTCTTGGAGATCTTAGAGAGACCGTCCTTGGATCCTTAGCTGCGACCGTAGGTGCTTCCCCAAGAGAAGCCGATGGAAGGTGGAAGTGCGTGGTTTCAGCTGAGAATTCCTGTCGGAGATGTGAAGGAATAGAGACTTCAGTTGTTGCAGAGAGGTGCCTGTCCGTAGACCTCAAACCCAAGGCGGAGGCTGAGTTGGTGGAGTTGGTGGGGTCGCAGGAGATACGGGAATGGCTTCTAGGTGGGGGATGAGACGGTGATGTGGATCCAGTTGTTTCAATCATCAAAGTAGTTGAGACGGTGGGGGAATTCTCACAAGTGTCCGAGAATTGAACTTGTATGATCCTCAGGCCAATTCTTTGTTGCGAATGAGCAGCCGTATCTTGGATGATGGTTGCAAATTCTTCACAAGTTGTTTGAACCGATGGTTGCACGATGCTTTCGCCTTGAACACCCAATGTCACCCTGTCTACTCCCAGGAGCCTTGAGTCCTCGCTTTTCATGTCTCGCCACATTTATCACTGCACGAAGCGAGAGCGGATTCGACGGCACCTTGGCAGAAGCCTGACGTACAAACAATGCAGACTCTAAACGTACTAAAAAAGGATCACCTTGCTACTAGTAGCTTCTTGCAACTAGTCGTAAGAATGCTCCTAGTAGTGATGCCAGGAGCGCCTAGTAACGTCCTTGCTCCTAGTAGTAAGGCCAGGAGACCCTAGTAGCTTCTTGTTACTAGTAGCTTCTTGCTACTAGTCGTAATGGCCTCCACCCTAGTAGCGATGGCCTCCACTAAGAGCGATGGCCTCTACCCTAGTACCTTCTTGCTACTTCCCACACTTTTACTTTCTGGACCAAACACCAAAAGAAGCACTTTTCTAGTTGTGGTGCATGCACATGGCCACGCTGGCACATCACTTGGTTTTTGACAAGAAACCGATAAAGGAAGAAAGAACAGTGTGAGAGAGAGAGGAGGTCAAAGTTACTTGGAGAGTTCAATGGCCAAGGCCAATTGCCACCAGCATCTATCCGTCCTCAAAGTTGTTGGGGCAGTTGCTTCTAAGCTGTCCAGAGTTGGTCATGGATCAAGAGGTGCCGATGCACATGAAGCCATAGACGAGTGACTGGAAGTAGAAGCAGATGCAGCGGTGCTGTGGGTGCCGCTTTGTCGTCCGATTAACATCCAAAGGTCTGTGAAAGTTGAGAAATCTTGAGTCCCACCAGTCCGAAGCGCAGCTAAATCAATAGAGAATCACCAGAACAAAGGACGGTGTTTGGGCCTCGTCACAGGGGACCAAACACCTTCCCAGCTTTTCCTCTCTTTCTGTTTAAAAGAAAAAGCACAAGGACGCTACTAGGGGCTCCTGGCCTTATTACGCGACTACAAGAAGCTATTAGACACAATAAATAACTACTTCTTTCGCGACTACTTTAGCCAACAAACACACCTTCTTCACTACCATGTTCATCGATGGAAGAAGTGTAGTGTAGTGGAGTGAAAAGTGTAGCGATGCCACTGTTGCTAGTAGCTTCTAGCTACTAGTAGTAGTGCCCTTGTTACTGGTAGCTTCTTGGGGGCTCCTAGTAGCGTCCGAACGCTCCTAGTAGCGATGCCCTTTGCTCCTAGTAGCTTCTTGTTACTGTTTTTTTGCGCATCGATTCAGAGTTTCTGCGGAGTGGACCATAGTTTTGATCAGTGGAGGTCTTGGAACTTGGTGCTGGTTTCCATGGGTTGCCCTCCTTGGTGGCTGCTTGCTGTGGTGCCCGCCATGTGCTTTGCAGTGAGATGGACCCAGTGGCCCTACACCAGCTGGACATCAATACCAAGGAGAGGGAGAGTGAGAACTGTGTAAGCAGAGGCAAACAACACCAGCAGGAACACCAAGACGATTTGCATAATCGAGAGGTCATTACAGCACTTTCATTACAGCACTTTCAAGCCGTCGGGCTACCGCTCCAACGCAAACAACTCCGGACTTTGGCTCTGGCCGTTTGTACAGGACAGCGGTGTGGAGGTGATGAAGCTGGACTGGAGTGCCCCCACCGATTTGCGCAAGTTCCAGGCTGAATCATCATAACTTGAAAAGGATTTTGCTTTCCGTTTGGGATCACGTTCTCGCTAGTAGGGTGGAGGCCATCGCTAGTGGGTTGGAGGCCATCGCTTGCCGGGAGGTTGTGCTTGGGTCTGATATCGTGCACGAGACATGGATGGGTCCGGCAGCCTTGGAGATTTTGATGCAATGCCTCATGCCTGGTGGAAGGGCGGTCATCGTTCTGCCAGCATCCCACCACCGTACCTGGGCAGGAAATGGTGGCAAGAATCCATCGTTTGCTTTTCTCCAAAAAAAATTGACGTGTGCCATTTCGATGCCCAGGTTATGGAGTGGAAGAGTTTCAGCAGCTCCCTGACTGCAGCTGGAATGCTGACTATGCATGTCTCGTATGGCCGCGACAGGTACCGCGTTTCAGTTCAGACCTGCCATGCCCAGGTTGCTTCGAAGCATGGAGGAGGAGCGTGTGCTTTCCGCAACATTGATAGACGGTGCTTTAGCCAGAATATCACAACAGTCCGTTTTAGACAATAACGGGGCATTTCTGTCAAGCTTTTGTGAAGATTTCTGTTTGCTGTTGTTTGATTTGACAGTGCATATCAAGGATGCCCTCTTGTGGCTGTTTGGGCATGCTGCAGATGGTCCGAAGTGTTGGTTCTAAGGTTCTGGAACATGGTCAGCATTTCCTGAGCAAGTGCTTCGCTCGACAGATGCTGAAGATTTGTCCTACGACTGCTATTTAATTTGTGTACTTTGACACACTTTCACAAGGACGCCGTATTGACTGGACTAGATGTGTGCTTCAGTTGGTGCAGAAATGCAGCCCCAAACGTCAGAGTCTGGATGGCCTTTAGTGCTCTCCATGTATATATGTGTCAATGAGTCGCGTAGAAGAATGCTGGCTCCAACGGGTGCAAGCATTCATGTCATTGCTTTGTGGGCTGCCTGAAATGTGGGCGGCCGAAAGACCATAGCTGCAACTACTGATACTGCTTGAAAAAAGATAAATGGTTCACGAGCAGACAGGTCAGAGAAGGTTCTGCGGGTCGTAGGCCAATCTGTGTTTGGATCCAAACCACGTCACCACACACAAAAGCGCGCAAAGCCCGTTTTGCGTTTGCTTCTCGAATTTGCCAGGATGATGGTTCCCAAGGCACGAAGCCTGTCACGAGTCTTTTTGTATCCACCAAAAGCACAGAAAGAAAGACACCTTAAGACATTTAAGACCGTAATTGATCTTTCTTTACATTTCACTACCCACTTCCTCGTGACCTCAGTTGTTTGTGCCCCCCATTGGGGCTTTCGGTTTCGGTTTTGGATGTCACTGCAAGACTCGTCGTAAATTCAGGTGGCAAGGCCATCGGAGCTGCTTCAGTGATCGGAGCACGCTTTCTGTTGGAGAGTTACTTGGACGGTGACGAGGCCAGGAAAACTGGAAAAGACGACTAGGTTGGCGGCCATCGCTACTAGGAGCAAGGACGCTGCTAGTAGCTCCTGTTCTTACTAGGAGCAAGAAGCCATTAGGAACAAAGGGCATCGCTATTAGGTTCGACGAGTGGCGGCCATTCGTTGGCCTCGCAGAGATCCTCCGAGCCCCGTGCCGCAGGTGGATGTTGACGTCATCATGTCGGACGGAGAATGGCAGTTTGCGGCCGTCTCTGACAACGGGCCCACGCCAGCTCCCCAAGAAGCTACTAGTAGCAAGGGCATTACTACTAGTAACAAGAAGCTACTAGTAGCTCGCTCTTACTCAATTAAGTAGGCGCCGACCGCCTACTTGACTGAGACCGAGTAAGGGGTGAGTTGCCAGGGCTAGGTCTCCAAAAGTCATGCTTGTCTCATAAAGCGATGACATAATCGAGGTTGGAGCCATACTTCAACGAGACCTGGGCAGTGTCCCCGTCGTTGCTGTCAGTGCCTCAGAAACAGAACCTTCATGCTTCTTGGAAGCTTGGTTTACTAGTAACAAGTGCATCGCTACCAGTAGCTTCTTGTTACTAGTAGCGATGCCCTTGTTACTAGTAGCGTTTCCCTGAACTGTGTCCGGATGCTACTAGCGAAGTCTAGCAAACCTGTTTACTACATCGCTTCTTGTCTTGTTTTGCCTTGTCTTCTTACTGGTAGCTATCTAACCCCCAACCTCTAGTCTTCACGGTCAATCTCCCCGGAAAAAAACAGCAGTGAAGATGAAACTGCTGGTGTTCTGGTGGATTTGCAGTGACATGTCCAAAAGGCCTCGCACCGCATCATTGAGGCCTCGCAAGAAGCAAGTGGAGTTGCGAGAACTGGCTGTGAGTAGTGTCAAGGTACCGATGCTTTCATCGATGTTCATACACTCAGCTCACTTGGCCAATACTCAATCGGACGACTAAGCTTGTCATTGACATTTCCACGCAAGGCGCTGGGCTTTCAAGAGGGCATCTTCCATGTGGAGCTCAAATACACCAGCAACCATGGCCCACAACTCATCGAGGCCTTGAGAAGAGGGTGGAAGCAGGGACAAGCACAGGAGTGAAGAGAAACATACTCGGTTGGAGGCCATCGCTATTAGCATGCACAAGTTAAAGTCTCAGTTTCTCAGATGGCAGGTGAATGCTCGAATGGGCGGCTTGATTGCACATGGTCATGATGACCTTATGCTGGAAGATGAGCCGCAAAGTAGCAGTACGATTCTCAAACAGTAGTGGACTCAGGTGGCGGGCCTGTCTACGCCACCAACTTGCGGACTTGGGGCGTAGCTCTGGGCCTGCTTCACGCGCTGCTTTCGATATCGAACAGAGGTGTACGGTACAGTACCAAAGAGTATCGAGGAATTGCTTCCATTATTGCCTTCATTATATACTCGATGTCAGTCATGTGCCAGGTAGATCTCGTGGAAGAGTCGCAGCGACATGTTTGCCTTGACTTTGATGATGCATGTTACACATTCAGGATTTGGGTAACCGTCCACAGAGTACACTGGGAGCATGGTGGGAGGCAGTGGGAGGACATGAAGGAACACGCACAGATTAGAACGTGTTTCCTTTTTCATTGCTATTAGGTTGGAGGCCATTGCTATTAGGGTGGAGGCCATCGTGTCTCTGACCTGGTGGGAGAGTTCGGTGGCTTTGCTCCTTCCAATGCGAACGTAGCCATGAGACCGTAGCGCACGCCTCTTTTGGTCTATGAACAAATGAACGGATGGAATGAGGTACAGTGGATCATGATGCATAGCAGACATGCGTACAATGCGGACATGCCAAACATGATGCAGCCATGAAAGTCCAGCGTTATGGACAGTCGCAATCAGCAAGGCAACCACAACTTGCAGGTCACCAGGGAGAAGGCATGACAAAGCGACACTGCAATGCTAAATGCAAGTCCAACATGTAACATTTCGAGGATCATTGCACCAACGGACAGGGGATGGTTTGCCAGGGAGTGATTTAAGTCTTTTTGCAAAAATTCCTCAATACACCGGATCAGTGACAAAAAGCAATGCTTGCTCAAAAGGTGATGAATCCCCATGTGCCAGCAGATGTCACCGGGCATTCTATCCACATCAACAAAAGAGTACTGGTAGGCTGCGACACCCCATAGCAGCTTAGCAAGTGGCCCTACTCAGGACTCACAATTGTGCAACATCTGCCACGCTCCACAGCAGTTTGCCAGCTGTATGGTCGAAAGCAAGCATTTGTTCAAACACATAAATGCAAAGCCAGAGCCATCATCACACGACATACCCCGATAGTCTATAGCTGAGGGAAAGAAAGCTCAAGGAGGCAGAGGTATATGAAGAGTCCCACAGAAGGCTTCTACTGAGAGTAGTTTGTAAATGTATTGTTGAAAGGTACGCCATGGAATGCAAGGCGGCAAAGGCTGCTGTCAAGAACAAACAGCCCAGGTCCAAAGGCTGATGTGCCCAAGTCATGCCCATTTGGGTTTATTGATTAAATTAGTAACAAGAAGCTACTAGGGGCTCCTGGCCTTACTACTAGGAGCAAGGACGCTACTAGGCCTAGTTTCATGTTTCTTCTATTGCTGTTCACAGCCAGGGCTCTTTTTTGTGCGGCTGGTATCCCTTCAAGGCCTGTGGTACCGAGGCGGGTGGCGCAAAGCGCCGGGGCCATGGTGACTTCAAAGGGTATCGCGTTCTTGTTCCTAGTAGCGTCCTTGTTACTACTAGTAAGGCACTTGCTCCTAGTAGCGATGCACTTGTTCCTAGTAGCTTCTTGTTCCTAGTAGTAAGGCCAGGAGCCCCTAGTAGCGTGCTTGTTCCTAGTAAAGATCACTGCAAAGGGTTCAAACTCTGAGGTTCACTGGCCACATTGGTCGGGGTTAGAGAATCGAATAGGACAACCAATTCCATGGGTTTGCTCATTTTCCAGTGTGCGTCTCCTTCTGTGTGCCATTTCAGGAGTGTTTTCACTCTTGGCCAGGGTACCTTTCATTGCTACAAGAGTAAGACATTCCACAGCGACTGCCACGGCAGGTTGCCCATTGAATGCATCGCCAACGCCGATGTCGAAATCCTACAGCTATGGCATTGTTCTTGCAAAACAGAATTGATAAGGTTCAGAGCATGGGGCAGGTCCTTTCTCTCAAGAGGAATATGTTTGCAAGTAATGCAGGAAGCAAAGAGAGAGTCTGAAAGCATGTGCCACCGCTACCAGGGTGGAGGCCATCGCTACTAGGGTGGAGGCCATCGCTAGTAGGCCTCCGCTATTAGTATAGGTTGGAGGCTGGTAGCTCAAGTCTAATGATGCAATCCTCAGGTGAATGCGCTTCGCTCTGGAAGGCACTCCGTGAAAGCTTTGTGTTTGATAACGAAAGGATCAAGTAAAGGTCTACCGTGCACTCATTTGAAGGGCCTTCAAGAAAAGGCCACGGAAAGGAGACATCATTGTCACAAAAAATTAGGAACCAAATCAAGCCTGAGCCCTAGCGGCCCTAGCCTGCCAAGATAGCTTCTTGTTCGCTACTTTACCCCTTTCTTGTTCGCTGACTCGTGACGAACACAACGCCGCCCAGGCTGACGGATCTGAATTTCATGAAGCCGCTCTTCGATCGTGAAGGTGTCATCTCGACCGGACCTGAGCGGTAGCGACCGTTTCGAACATGGCAAATGCGGCAGATGCAGCAGACGGTAAATGCTGAAGAGGCCCAGTCATCCACCTTCAGTTTGTCGAGTCAGTTGATTCCGATGAGAGCTTCAAATAGCATTAATTCCCAGTCAATTTCGTTCGACTGAGACTGGTTGGTGCCCACAGTACCAGCTTTGAGGCACAATTGCCACGTCTCTGTTGGGGAGGAAGTGGTTGGCCCTATGGACGGCCACCACCTCAAGTGTGACAAAGTTCTGTGCTTTAGTTTCTTGTAACATGCAGTTCTTGTATGAATCTGTGCACGTTCTGTGCGGGATACGGGCACTGGCATTTGGTGCACAGTGCATCGCATCTCTTTCTGCTGATCGAAAAGGCCTTCCCACATGGTTGGTGGAAGTGGTTGTCTCGAAAGGGACACCACGAGAGGCACGAAGAATGCCGTTTGAAGCCTTGACTCGTCGTGGTCGCTCCAATTGGTCCGCCTGGACCAGGCGTTGGACTTCTTGCTCAGACTGGAGGACATCGGAAGTATGTAAATGCGAACGAAGGATCCACGTTCCAATGAGTGGGACATCGCTCTTATGTTGGAGGCCATCGCTAGCAGGTTGGAGGCTAGTGAGAAATGAACAGATCATGCATGCAAAAAAGCAAGCTGGCAGTGCCAGTGCTCCAGAGAAACATGACTATAGTGTAGTGGATGAGTATGATCATGTGCTTTGAAGCTCAACTACTCGGCATAGCCGTCTTGTCCAGGAAGAGGTTCAGGAGAATGTGCAAGTCGCCTAGATCAAGGCCGGGGAGCAGGCACATCAGAATGCACATGCACAGCATGGGAAACAAAGTGTTCGTGCTAGAGTTCTTACTTGAAGTTCCAGTCCCTAAATCCTCAAAGCCCCACTTGTTTCCTTGTTTAGGAACTCCGACACAGAAGACCTTTGTCGCTTTCAAGAGTTTCTGAATGAACGTTTGAAATTGCAGGCCGTGAGAAGCTACAGAATTATTTTGAATAAACACTTGAGAAGCTTCAGATAGCTGAGCCTCTGCTGAGATGCTCTTGACTGTCGCATCAGGACAGTTTTTTTAGGTCAGCGGAGCAGCACAGACGAAGGTCTGGATTCCCGAAGGCATCTCAAAAGCGGGCCAAACACATGAAACTGAAGAGAAAGCTGGGAGCATTAGTATTCAGTGGGCCTTTTAGCATTCAGAGGATTCGAAGGACATTAAGGGCTGCCTTTCGGTGGGGCTTTCAGGCATAGGCTTCCAACTGGAAGCGTTTCACATGTCTCCAGGGTGGATCTCTTTGAATGCCTACAGTGAGGAGGCGCTTGACTTTTGCGGACACCGCTGCATGAAGGTGCAGAGGCAGAGTCGAGATTGTTTTGCGAAACAAGTTCCGTGCAGAGGCAGAGGTGGGAAGAAGTGGGTAGCGATGCCCTTTGCTCCTAGTAGCGTTCTTGTTCCTAGTAGTAAGGCCAGGAGCCCCTAGTAGCGCCCTTGCTCCTGGTAGCGATGCCAGGAGCCCCTAGTAACGTTCTTGTTCTTAGTAGCTGGTGTTTGCCAGATTTGAAGGAGTGGAGCATCGACTGCATAGACGTTTACTTTTGCCGCCTTAGCCATGATCCGCCGCAACACTTAACGGCTTGTAGCTTTTGCATAGGAAGCAGCAAGCTTTCCAGAATGCAACTCAGGGTTTCATGCCCATCATCGTGATAATCGTGATGATCTTTGAGATTTGAGGAAGTGGCCCAGCAGTGTAGCCATCACCGAGTCAGCCAAAGCTGCTGATGATCGGGGATCCTTTAGGGAATGGCGACCGAGTTGGCACATGCAGAGCTTGAGTTGGAAGAGGTGAAGGAAGCCTTGCGGGAAGGGAAGTCATATCTCGGTTTGACCGGGTCTTTACTAAAGGAGTATGCGGTGGAAGCAGCAAAGAAAGAGAACCTGCTCCGCAAAAGCCTCGGTGTGAAGCGAGAAAGTTCGATGAGCTCCGAGTCTGAGGAGCTCAAAGAACTTCACTCAACTCAGTTCACTCGTCCACGTAGCAACTCGGTGAACTCCGCCACACAGACTGACGTCACCGTGGGGGCCAAAGCGACCGATTCAAATCTGGAGACGGCAGTACCTACGATGCCAGAGCTGCCACGCGAGGCGACGCCAGCGATGCACATCGGCGCTCCTGCAATGCCTGTGACGTCGCGACCATCGCGACCACGATCCTTCTCGAAGTTATCATCGGGCACAGCTCAAGGAGCTTTGGGAAGAAGTGGTGACTTCTGGCGAGTGTTTTTCAGAAAAAGTCACTGTTGGTTGATATGCTTTGGCATGATCTTTGTGGGAGACTTGGAGTGTTTGAGTGCAGTACTCAAGTTCTGGCCAACTTGTCCCTTTCAAAGCTCCTGAAGGTTCCGTTTTTGCTCATGTCTTTTGAACCGCTTTATCATTCACAGGAGTTGTTGACACTGGAGACCTTGCTATGGTGTGCTGCTCAACGGGGTTGGTCGAAGGGTGGGCTCCACCTCTCACACGCAATTCTTGGAATGCTCTCCGAGTTTCGTTTTTGGTTTAGCTGGTTTTGATGAAATGTTTTTGCCAACTGTCGTTGGCTTCCTACAATGTGTTTCGTCTTATTCCACTTTCGTTGACCAAACCAAGAGGCGAAGCCGGTAGTGGACCTGTTTTGCGGGTCGCTCGGGAACAGGTGCTTGAGCTCATGCGGTCGAAGCCCAGCGATGAACGTAGCTTGGCAGATGTTTCCCAATTTCCCTACTCCCTCGCTTCAACCAGTCACACGACAGCTAGTCAAACAGCAGATGTCAATGTCCAGTCGTGTTTCAGGACTTCAAAGGGCCTGTTTGCTGGCGATCGGACGCCTTTCAAAGGCGGGGGGCTTTGCCACGGGCAAGTGCGCAAGCTGGAAAGCAACACAAAGTCCGACTATTTCCGATCACAGATTTATATACGTTTGCAATCAACTTTTGTAGATCTTCCATGCGGATTTGTATTGCATGGATATGCATGGAACATGACTTGGTGTTTCAACTTCATTTTCGACATCCTCTTTTGTAGACTATGCAAGAACTAGTTATCCTCTCTTCTCAAGTTCCTCGCTTGCCATACTCGCCATGGCCTAAATGTTGTTTGATCTTAGAGTCTTTGAGCTTCTGCCCGCAGGATGCCTCTGCCTTGCGACCCTTATGCTTGGGTGTCATCTCGGCTGTTGCCCAATCAGCTGCTCAAGCGTGGCCAGACCGCGCTTAGAAGCTTGGGGGGATTGGAAGTAATCACATCCTCTATATGATTGCTCTTGATGCCCATGTGCGATCTTTATTTTGACTTGTGATTTGCTGAAAGAAGGTGTTGCGCACGAGGGACACTGGACCAAGCCTTCCTTGGTTCACACATGTTCACACCAAGCCTTTCTTGGTTGCATCGCTCACATATCGCCTTGCAAGGCGAGAGAATCTCATCTTGCAGAGATTGGCAGTGACCGCTTTGTCCAGCTCCATGGCTCAGATCGTGTTTGTGCGTCTCCGAATGAACCGAACCACCTTTTGGCAGAGGCACACCCAGGTTCAGGCAGGATTTTCTTCATGGGATGTGATGGGCTTTTCTTGTTTTTCGTGTTATTGTTGTTTTGGTCAAATAGGTCTGGGGGTCATTGAGGTGTGGTCTATCTCCATGATGTAGCAGCACTGGTTGCACCTTTAGCCCTTCCGGTGGTCATCGAGGAGCAGATGTGGCTTCGGTTTCTTCCCTTTCGCTCCTTTTGCTTTGGTTTTTGTTTGTTCCTTTAGACCCGTGTTTCTTTTTTTACTTCTAGAAATAACTTTGTAGTTTAGCAACGGTTCACTGTTGCTAAGTTCGGGCTACCTTTGGTGAATACTCTCATGTGACACTGTGGCGCAGACTTTCTGACAGGCTGCGCTAGCGTTTCCAGAGGATGTCAAGCTTCAAACAAGTGCCTGCGAGGCAGAAATGCTCAGGAAGACCCGGCGGAAAGCAATGTTTGGTCATGTTGTGGAAGGCTAGTTGTTTTCAGGTTCATGTTGCGGAGTGACAATGCAGAAATTCGTTGGGTTTTCTTGCCTGAAATATGCTACTAGGGGCTCCTGGCCTTACTACTAGGAACAAGAAGCTATTGGAAACAAGAAGCTACTAGGGGCTCCTGGCCGTGCAAAAAGTTGTGGTGTTCTTTCTGACGAAGCATTCAGAGGCCTTTGCGCGCTTGGCACAAGGCGGTAGCAATCGAGTAGCCAGCGCCTTAGAATTTGAAAGATCCCATTCTTCAGTTTGCTTTCCGTTCTTTTTGAGGTCAGCTCAATGGTGAAGTACCTTGCAGTGCCTGGTGTAGCCTTTGCCCCAGGATCTCCCAGCTTTGGTCGTGAAGTAGGGTTTTGTTCTTGACCTCAAGGAAAACTCTCGCGCAAGCGACCTCAAAAAGCCTCAAATCCACACGTTCCTCTGGCAGACATGTACTCGCCTGTTATGGACACTCCCTCAACATTAGACTGGATGATCATATGCGCACTGGGATGAGCAGTGAATGTGGATTGCAACATTGCCAACAACCAACTCGCACGAACCTGTCGCGCCTGCTCCAAGTTAGAAGTTAGACACATGGTGACACATGGATCTCTGCACTCCAACTCACCGCTTGACCAATCTCACTGGATGATGGATGGCCCGAGAGCGTTTAGGTGTAGCCCATCGCAGGGTAAAGTGAAGAAACCAAGGAGATGAGTAGATCGTCCACCTGCTAACCTTAATAGCAATAGCCTCTAACCTAATAGCGATGGCCTCCAACCTGCTAGCGATGGCCTCCAACCTACTAGCGATGGCCTCCAACCTAATAGCG